GACAGCCAGTAAGCGGGGGGGGAGGGGGGGGTTATGCTTGTTTTTATTAGTAATTATTAACTTCAGTGCTGCATATGTTTGGCTATGTAGGAACAACCCTGAGTCACGATAAACAAGGTAATCTTTTTGTCCCAGTTCACTGTGAAGTGACAATTGGTTTCTGTTTAAGGATATGGCTGTCTACTGATGGGTACAAGCTGTTGCATGTAGCTGGATCCGTTTTCCCTCAAAAAGCGAGAGAATTTGGTGGTGGTGTAGCTAGCTACAACTTGTTTTGTGGCTATTGTAGAATTTGTGTCATTCAGTAAAATCTCTCTTAATTGCTGAGTGTTTGGAAAACTACATCTCACAGAACTTTTCTCTGCAGAGCATTGTTTCAGTTATTACATCAGTGGTCCCTATGAACTTCCAGGGTGGTTAGCTACCAGCTGGGAGGCAAGCTCCTGCCTGCAGAGCTGTTGATGAGAGCTTTGGGCCTGCTTCCCCCCTTTGGCTTTAACTGTATTAGGAGTTTGGTTATTGGGTGCTTCAGTGAGAGTCCGTACGGGCTGATAGATGGGACAGCTGTTGGAAATAATACAGCCCAAGTCTTACCTCTGGCTGCAGGTACAATTTGGTAGATGGTATGAAATGCAGTAATTTCAATTAAGGGACTTGAGCATATTGTGAGCTGAGGTGCGTGGGGATGACCAGCAGCTCTTCCGAGGAGAGGGGGCATTGCTGCTCTTGGAAACGCAGCCTCCCACAGAGGAGTCGGAGCACTTGCAGCATGGGATTAGCGTTTGCAATGTGTGTGTGAACCATACATAGGGGAAAGTGAGAACCCTGTTCTGCAGCTGAAGTAAAGCGAATGCGGCCTACCTGCCACCTCGATGCTGGGAAAGCTGGGGATGAGGACAGCCACAAGGGAAGGTGACTGAAGGAAGCAGTGTCCAGTGAGGGATTCTTGATGCTTCAGGCATGAACCATAACCTCAGTGCTCGTGTTTGAGGTAAGAGACTTGGGAGCTGAGCTGTCCCCCTGCCCAATTTAGCCTTGATCCCTTTCTCTGACCTGGCAGCAGCGTAGTCTTGTGTCCTTTTGTGTGTGGAGGAGTGCAGACTTTATTCTGCATCATGTGACAACTGATACAACTTCTCACCAAAATGTGGCAGTGCTGCTCTGGCCCTCAAACAAACAGGCTTGAAATCAGACCCCCCGGGGAGAGATCCCATCCCAGTGAGGATCCCTATCACTAATTCAAGCCCCCAGCCCTAGGGTGTAACTAAAGGGTGCAGTTTGATAGGCCTAGAAAGACCTCCACTACACCTGGAGATGGCAGGCTTGTGGACCCATCTAGGAACTGCAGATCCTCTACACAGAGGACGAGTTCTGCTGATGGCCTAGAGCTTTTCTGGCTGTAGCCAACACCGACATACTTTTTTACTGCCGCTTCCCACTAGCATATAGCTGCTGTACTCCTGCGGGGAAGGAACAGAAGTTACCATAAGTAAGCAAAGCCCAGTTTTGCAGCCACCATACTAGACTTAACCTCCTGTTACTATTTACTCGGTAGATAAATCCCTACAGCTTGAAAAAAAAAGTGGCTTTATTACATGACTGCTTTGAGACATTCATCAGTGGTGGCCCAGGAAGTGAAAACAAACACATACTAACAACTACACTACCGAGACATGAACTTTTTTTAATGGAGACACGTTGTTGATCACAATTTATTCTGAAGTCATGAGATGCCAGCAACAGAACAGACTGAGTCAGCAGGTCAGGCTGGACAAATACTTGATTGTAGCCACGGCTGTTGGCTATGGGCAGCAGCACTGAGTTACGCAACAAGGCAACAGTTTCTCTTCTACCTTCCTAACAAAACTGCCAGGGAAGGCAAAGGATGGACAGCTATTGAACTGTGGTATAAACCATGCAAGAGTAACAAATGTGAGAATAGGTGTGTAATAAATACTTGATGACACTGGGGGAGGGGGAACAGGCTTATTTAAAAAAAAAATTATCTTCTGCAAGACATTAAAGCTATTTTAAGTATTGTCACCACCACAGTGGGCAGTCCAGTCCAGTAGTGACAACTGGTACACGGATCAGTTTTGAAACAATACCCCTCTTCAGATGAGAAGGTTTGAACAGATTATTTATCCACTGGCTAAAGCTCTGGGGTTAAAGAAGTGATCAGTAATCAACATTTATTTCACACCTAGGCAGAATGACTAAAACTGAAGACTACTGTTCAGCTTCGTCTTCAATTACTTCAATTCTGCGAGGCCCGTAGAGTAGAACATAAGCTATATGCCAGTCTCCACCCCCAGATAACCTCAAAATATCTTCCGGTGTAACAATGCTGACTTTGTCATCATCAAATTTAATCCATTCATCTGCAAGAAAAACAAGAGGATTATTTGTAATTTAGGTACATAAAATCTAAGCGTGTTTAACAGCCCCTTAAAGGAAAGAAGCTGTGAAGGGTGGTTAACAGTGCTGTAATTTTATTTTTTACCTTGTTTCCTTTTAACCCAAGACACATAATGCCCAGAGGAACTTGATCTGCCTTGATGTGTTAGCACTGCCTGCAGGTCATAATAGCCGCAATTATTAGAACCAGTATCTGAAGGAAGAGGGGGAAAAAAAGTTACACGAGTCTCACATGAACAGTTTCAGTGTGTTTCACAGACACGTTAGCCATACTGCAGCACTGAGCTGTGTAAAACCCCATTTGCAGCACGGTTCTAAGTCATTGTGAACTAAAAGCAGCGGCTTTCAGCCAGGACAGCCCCTCAGGAAACTGGGACTGTTGTCCATTTTTATGACATAAATATGTATCCTGGGCGTAACGCAAATGCAGTAAGCTTAAGGAGTCAAAACGATGATGTACGATTAGTAAACCTTCTGGGCAGGTTTGGCCAATACTTCCTTCAAACACCAGCTGCTGCCCACATTCAAGGCCAGCCGTGAAACTGCAAGGACCGACTTGCTGAGCACGGGCTGCACAGCGATGCTGCTGAGAATACTCGGGTACGGTAGGTCAGCCCACTCTGCAGTTGGTTCAATTACGCTATTCCATTTTTCAATGGAAAAAAACTGGCTATTTCAAAGGTACCGAGAAGGGTGTTACAGTCCCCAACGTGTCTTAACTGCCCTTCTCAGCACTCCAGAACATCCTGTTTTCACCGTGCTCTCGAGCTAGTCAATGCCCCCCCCTCCACTTCTCATGTAGCGCATCACACAGAAAATTTGGAAGCACTGAATGGTAACAGTTGGGATAAACAAGACCTCCAAAATAATTTCTGCACAGTGTCCTCAACATGAGGGTGAACGCTTAGGACATTCAAGCTCCAAGCCCCCCAAATTTAGGCAACACTAGCACCACCACAGCACTTTTTAAAGTCCAATCTTTCTATTCCTTAAATTTCTGTCAGTTTCTGAAGCTTAATTTTCAAAGGCATTAAAAATAACCGGCATTCTCAAAATATTCCTACTATCAGGTCCACTTCAACATGAGTAAATGGAAAGTTACTTTAAAATAGATTTACTTCCCTGTACTTACCATCAGGAAAAGAAAATGGTTCGTATTTAACTTCCTTCTGTGCACCATCACTCTTACTAGACTAAAGAACAGAATATGCTGAATTAATGTGAAATGGTTTTGAGCAAGCTTTAGCACAATCATCTCAAATACCAACTCTCCATTCATTTAAAGATGTTTCTAAGCCCATACATTTTTTGTTCAACTTGAAAGAAGTTCCATTACAGTATTTCTAGCTGGACATCCAAAAGCCTAATCTAAACAGGACCACTTTTTAAAGCAAATATATAATCATTTTAGCACATATTGTCTAGACTGTTTTGTTTACCCACCAGATTTACAGGCTTGGAGCACGAAAACAATTCTGCAACTGAAGACTTTATTCTTTGTTAGGGACTTTCTAGCAGCAGAAGTGGCAATAAGAAAATACCAGAGACAGACTAAGTGCCGATACATTCTGTTTTAAAATAGCACTCTTTCCTTGCTCCTAACTGTGTAGAGAGAGATGCAAGTCTTATTCAAATGTTTAAATGAAACTGCCAGGAGTTAGGCCAGGAAAAGACTAGCAAACTTTGAAAAAAATTGGCTAAAACACTACAGTTTTAGCTCGTTTACTTTTTTCTTCATTAAAGAAAAGGAAGTCAGTTTTAGAATTATGTAGGCAGGGTAGGAGATTAAACCATTTACCAAGTTTTTAGAGTACAGTCTTTTAGCTCACTACTACGTATATTCTGTATTTTATCACTCAGACACATGGTACTCCCTTGTACAACCCCTTCCAGCTGGTGAGCAGGAAACAGGTACCTATACTCCACCGAACAAGTGACCTGCCAGCAAGCAATAATGTTTGGAGAATCATTTTGTGTAATTCACAGAAAACCTTTAGGCATAACACTGGTAAGCAGAAGCACTACATTTGCATACATTTTGAAATAAAAATGTAAGCAACATGTTTGTCTACAGCTTTTAACATTTCTCATCAAGCAGTCATGCCAAAGCAGGTACTATATTTTCATGAAAATACACAAAAACGTCTAAAGCTCAATACTAAGGAGTTTGGATGCTAAATAGGAAAAAAAAATATATTTAAGTCAGTCAAGTTTTCTCTAGTCCTTATTAGTACCCAATTTCAGATGTATGACTTATCTAATCAAAACGTCCATGAAATTGCCGGGAGACTTACATTCTTTGGCTGTTGATTTACTTTTTTGTCTTCTAGATCTTTGAATTTTGATCGATAAGAAACCATTTTTTCCTGAAGGTCTGGCGTACATAGCTCATACACATCCAACATAAGAGGAAATTTAACATCCTAGGAAGTAAAAAGCATAAAGATTATTAGCATAATTTGGTACTCCACATTAAAGTGTTCTCCCATGGGAAGACAACACTAAGTCCAATTAAATGCAACTCTTGTCACATTTATGACAACCTGATCTACTGCAAGGTTGCTGGCAGTACTTACCTAAAGGGCTGCAATACTTTCACAGAAGAATGTCTGATTCAGTATAAACAAACCATCATAAATTACTACATTCAGTATAAACACTTAGATTCTTTATTATTAGCTGTCAATACTTTTATACTATGGATATACCTATGCAGGCCTAAGGAAAAAAAAATGCATGTAGAATGACTGTACACTTGCAAAAATGGCAAAAACATCCATTTGTGTTATCCAAACAACCTTCTACAATAGTTAACCTGCGCCTTCAATCTTTATTCCCTTGCTTCTCTTGTAAGGAACAGGCATCATCTATTGTGATGCTTCCTCAGCAGCCTAGGAGGTCTATCAGCCAAGGTCAACAGAAAGCAAAACTGGAACATTTAGCTGTTTGCAGCTGGTTCTTGCATTTGTCAGTCAGAAAGCCAGACAAAATAACTAATACAGGAAGTGTTTGTTAGCATAAACATTTCTCATCAACTTTTGAACGCTATCCAGTGACTGAGAGCCTGGCCCACTCCGTAATTAAACATCGTCCTCCGAACCACTAGTGAAGAGACCCCCAAAAAAATCCTAACAGTATTGGAGCAAATTCACTTCTGTTTCTTACCTCCTCCCCCAGTCTATTTTGGTAGCATAGTTTGTCACACATCATCGCAACTGGGAACAAAGCTACTTTGTACTTAAGAAGAGAAACTGCACTGTTAATATTTTTAAATGCAATTTAAAAGCAAACAATTTAGTAAATAGCCTTCAAGTATTAGTTGTCTACCTATAATAAAAACTCATTGAAAAGCATAAAGAGGAATTAAATTTCAATATGCAGAAAACTTACTCACCTTAAGAACTTTGGCATTCACAGATTCTTTCTCTTTGTAAAAAAATCTAACCATCTGAATAGTCAGGTACGCTGGCAAGCGACTGATTTTAGACTGCAAAAAAAAAATTCAGAAAAAGCTGTCACTTGAGATAGTTACAGATCTTTTATACCTTAAACACTGCTCATCCTAAATTACAGGCTATTCTGGGAACATATTTGTACACAAACACATAGGAATATAACAAGGCCTCCTATTTTGAAGCTCTGTATAGTAGCGTACTCAAAGAAATAATTTTCAACTGGTCTTAAATTTCTTGGTCATGGATATTCAGATGCTTTATAAACATGATTCTATAAATCACATGCTGTTGCAGCAGTAACTTTGTGTTTTGGGACAGAAAATTGACAACAGTTAAAAGAATCATAAAGAGAGTAACAAAAGTACCACTCACAGATTTGATATAGAGTGCATTTCTCTGCAGTGTTGGAGAGAGTTTGGTGATTTCCTCTTGAAGACGCTGTTAAAAAAAAAGGTAGTAACACATACGTTCATCATAAAACCCAGCTTAAAGAAAAGCACAGCACGGATAAACAAGCCGTCAACTAAATCTTGTTCTGCCAATCTCTTCTGTTGCTATCAGCCATTACGACACACAGAATTTTGAAATTCCTTGGCAAAAAGACCATGCCCATTCATTTGTTCAGCTCCAGGCTCATTCCTGAGCCCCAACAACACTAAGTTTCTCTCTGCAGAAATTTTATTCTACAAGAGTAGAACTTGCAACTTAAATATCTGCATTTGGTTACGAATGTGTCATGTCATGGTTGGAACACAACTGGAAAAAAAAAAAAACCTCTGAAGTTTCTTGTGACAGGAATATTTGCACATTTCTCAACTCTCAGTCTAAAGCAGAGCCGTACATAAAGAGCCAGGTGGTGATACTCTGCTTCCAGGGACCTTTCCAAATTCAGGGAAAGACTGACCTGGTTGTTAGTGTTGTGACTCTCTTGCTACAGGCAATCCAGCGTAACAATTCTAGAAGGCCCTTTCTGGCCTGAAAGTGAGATTTCTTTTTCATAATCTTTATAATTTGTGAGCATTAACTATTTTATTTTACTTTTCATTCTAAATTCTGTCAAAACAGAAAAAGCAGAAACAAAGATTATCTGAGAACCACGCAACTTGGTCCAGTCCTGTACAAACCAGATCTCTGCTTCCATCCCTGCTCTTACAGAAATACTACAAGAGCAGTTACTACAACAGTGTTTTTGTAGTAGCTCCTCTCCCTGCCCCTTCAGATTCTCCAAAAAACCCTGAAAACTTAGAAATATATAAAACACAGACTACTTTAAGAAGTCCTACTTAAATAAACAGCTTAAAGATGATGATGATGTGTCATGGAAGATTTAACACCCCCTTCAAATCTGCAAAATTAAGTTTAAGCTTAATTGTTTCATCATCTGTTTTTTTCTTCTTAGAACACAGCAACAAAAGTGCTGCCCTATTTTAAAACTGACTTTTGGACTTTTTGGGAACCATTTACAGCACGCTTAAATCATGATACTACTCAGTCTGAAGTGAAAGTCAAACAAATAGTTTCAAATTACAAGTAACAAATTGGCTTGCACTTGGTTACCTGCATGGGGAAGACCACGTCAGGGTCAAGAAAACGCTCTGTTGAAGTCTGCTTTACATTAGCAGGCAATTCATTTTCATTTCCATCTTCCCATTAAACACCCCCAAAAAACCTTGGAACTTTGTAAAGTTTGGACAGTAGATGTCAATTCCAAATCACAGATTAAAAACACAGGTCATTTAGAATCTGAATTAAATAAAAAAAAGTTGTAATGGCTTACCAATTTTAGTCCTGTAAACAGATACTTCACTTCTTGATTGATAAAGCAGCTAAGCTGAAGCAGATTCTCCTTTCCTTTAGTTACTTCCTCTTCTTCAGCTTCTGTACATTTCATGCTTCACGAAGTTAAGGAAAACCATCATGCACCAAGAGCTGAACTACTGCTCTAGTGAAAAGAACATGCTGAACAGCACGGTAACTTAAGATAATACTGTGCTTGTGCATCAGTAGTACTTTTACTTCTCATAGTATAAAAATGAAGGTTTGAAACAGCCCTTCCTTCTAACCAATCTGTTCCTTTGTGTCTAATGACAAGTGGTAGCTGAGGCAGACAGCATACCAAAAAAAATAAATAAGCTTTTAATCACCATTTAAGCCTGTGAGGCCTGCTTTGTTCTTTCTTCCCTCCCCACCCCCCCAGGACACAGATCATACTAACTGGCTGCCAATACCAAGTCTTGAAGCTGTCCTGCAACACTATGCTCCGTTACTGTTTACAAGTAATAAAGTTCTATTACTGCTGCTGGCCAGACTTCCTGTTTCTTTCAACGTGCACAGCCTCCTTTCCCTGCCTTGTATCTGCCCTCTTCACTGAAATAAAGTCCATTTCTTCATTATTTTCTACACATTCTTCTAATTGTTCTGTCCAACCTCTTCTTTTTTGTACTTCTGCCACCAATCCTTTTCTCTCATCCACTTCTTCTAACGAGACACTTTTCTGACTGCTCTGAATGCATTTATTCTACAAATGCTGCCATAATCACACTTTGAAGGCTTGCAACACAACTTTTCTACCAAGTTTCTGCCTCCTGCCATTAGCCTATGCATCATTCCTCCTAGCTACTCATTCTGCTCCTCCCAACTATTTCAGGGATAACAAACACCACAGTGCAGGGAGAGATATGCATGACTCTTACCTTAAAAAAGGCCTTTACTCTTCATCACTACCAAGCTATGAGATACAGTACCTCATCTAAGGCAATGTTTCCTTATTTCAGACTAGCAACACATATAGTATAATTCTTTCTAAAAGTGGTGGCCAGTTTAATGACAGCCAGGATTTTGGGGTGGTAAAGTGGGAAAACAGTAATACTTGGCATGAGATGCGTGCCCCATGTCATCTTTTTGTTCTTGCTATTAAAAAGCTACTAGAAAGTTGTCAGCTGCCTTAGTTTCTTACTCATCTAACAGTGTACATCCAATTTATTTCTTAAGAAATCAATCAAGCTATCTTTTGTCCATGTTTAATATGCCAAGTATATCAGCAACACTCCCTTTACAAGTCAAAAAAAGGCTATTTAGGAACATAATTACTTTTATTTGGATAAAACACCTCAACGTCCTTGAAGTAGGTAACTGGCAATCTTCTCCGGGAAGGAAACCTGGTATTTAAATTCAGTGGGTTCTTCTGTAAGTTTCCATTACCATTCTTCCTCCCCACATCATCCTCTCTCTCAAAGTATATCCAATCTTAACTTTAATTTCTGTGTACTCCTGCAATACATCATTCCCTCTCTTCCCCACCACACACCTTTATTTTATGTACTACTCTGGATGATGCTTTTCGTCCTCCCTGCACTCAACTGCTAAAGTGTGAAATTATTATCATTCTTTATGTCTTGCCTTAGTCTTTAGGATACGCTGTTTCAAATTCAATGCTGAAGAACTGATCAATTAAACTCTTCTTTTTAGAAGCTGCTGCTGTAGCTCCAGAGTCTGTCTGCAAAACAAATTCTCTTATGATGTAACTTTAAATAGCACGTAAAGACAGTCTTCTTTACAGACAAAATAACCCCATTTATTTAAATTCTTTGAAGCCTATTCCTTCACCTTTCTCTAGGCGCATTTTCTCCTAGTCAATCTCCTTACACTGTATAAAAGTTTCAAAACAAACGCATTTATAGCATGCTGTTAAAGCCACCTCACAGCACATCAGCAAGCAAGATTTCAATCAAAAGTCACACCTCCCTGCCCCCCAACTTAAATCTGTCTTAAATTTTAGAGTAGTCTATCAGATTTTTGCCACTGCCAAGACTCTCCAGAAAACAGCTCACAGAGAAAGAAGAGAGTCAGTCTGGTAAAGTCTTGTGAAAAGCTTTAAGTAATTTCTTAGCAGGTTAATTAAGTTAGCTGTCTGTTTGAAATGCATTCTTGTAGCCAAGAAAGCTGTAGCACAAGGATGGGGTTTCTTCCAGAAAAAAAGTTCTTACGTGCTAAATTCACAGGTTATGAGGGCCAGCTGCTGCATACTCACAGTCACCACTACCCTGGTCCAACATACGCCTTACAAAGCCCAAAGGGAAAGTATTCCTATAGTATGCTCCACAGCATAGCTATGACATGACATGACATAGGTAGCATTATGCTGACCAGACACATCAGAAAGCAGTTTCACTTACTGGACAATAGACACGTGCTGAAGAACACACAAAACAGATAATCCTTAGCAAAAAATATGTGAATCACAAGTACAATATTATAAATCCTAACTCTGGTTAGAGTAAGACTACAATTACCTCCATAACTGTATCACCTTCTATGCCTTCCAGCTTCTGCTGTAGTACCCTCATCATCTGCACCCAGCACTCATTGGCATCCTAGGAAAGGAACAGAACATTAAATCTGACTAGTAGTGTTATGATTTAGTAATATTAAACCCATCAATCTTTACACTATAAAACCAAATGTAAGGATTCCTTAACTAAGAATTTTTCCCTATTCCACCATACATTTTCAGAGCTAGCACTTGATATTACATTCAACTTTTCTACACAATACAAAAGCAAAGACTTTACTGGGATAAGTTATTTTCACAAGAGAAAGTAAGTTTTAAAACATCCTTGTTCTCAACTTCCAACATACTGTAGAATCCTCAAACAATAAGCTAATAATCGGTCTTTACCTGTTGAAGGTACTGGCCTTGATCGCCCTTCTCTGCAAACTGTGGGAAGGCCATATGTAAAAACTGCAGGAGAATGATAGGTGGAATACTGGAGGAAGTTTTATCCATGGAATCAAACAAGTCTCTAAGAGCTTGAAGAAAAAGTAAGTGAATGCTTTGAGAAGTGGAAAAACAATTCAAACATGGCAGGAAGTTTAAAAAGAATAGTAAAATAGCAGCAACGTTTAAAGACTGATCATGTAACAGTGTCCAGTTTGATCTTTCCAAAGCAGGACCAAATTTTCCAAGTGGCATAACAGGTACACCTAAGATCTCCTTCGTGAACATGACTTTGCAAGCGTAAAGATGACAATTCTGGGAGTTTGGCACATAGTGCCTTGTCTTTCCTGGCTGCTTACAGAAAAAAAAAACATTTTTGAGTAGTTAAGATTTCATTTGAAACACATATGAGGAACAATGTTTTCATAAGAGGACTACACCTAGAGAAACCAGAAGGCATTCACAGTCTATCCTCTAGAGCAGCTTAAGTTCCACGAACTACTGGGAAAAAAAACCTTTCATTTTTCCCAACTAAAATATCTAGAAAATACTCATGCTCAATTTAACACCCAGGAAAACAAGTATGTGTATGCATACGTGCAGACAGTTCGTAACTATGTGCAATTCAATGAACGCTACTGATTGCATGACAATACACATGGCTTTCTTTTTTGCTCCAGGCACATTACTACATATGTCTTATCTACCCAGGTTGCAGCATTTTAAATCCACAAATCACCTCAGAGACACCTGTTAATCCTCACAACAACCCTGTGAGGTAGGCAACAGTCTGCATGGTCACTAATTTACAAGTGGAGAGACTAATGAATGATACTCTTGAATAAGTGAATATAGGCACAATTACAAGGAACCAAGGTCAGTTGCTTCCTCTCTTTAAGAAATATCTTCACTGACATTGATAAGAGGGACAACCAATATGACACAGCAATTAAAAAAAATGCCATAAGTGTCATGCAGGAGTTCTTGACCAGCTCAGCGCCAAAGAATTAACTACAAATTAATTAAACTATTAAGACTCCTAAAAAGCAGAGCTGTCACCTTAAAAAGAAAACAAGGGACACAAAGTAAAGGCAGCGAAAAGGGGAGGGGCAGGCATGGTTGTATAGAGTAACCATTGAACTTACCACCCCAAAATTCGATCAGCAGGCATACCCACAAACTGGACCTTTCCTTCCTTACATTGTTAAATCCCAGTGTCCTGGCCCAGCATCTTAGTGGGGCAATGAAATAGAGTAAAAAAAGAAAAAGTGGACAAGTAGTACCCTTGTTCAAGTGTAAGGGGTCTAACTAGAATTCTAGTTAGAACTTGGGAGATACGGGGCCATCGTGAGCTCCCACATTGTGAGCACCCAGATCACCACAACAAAGAGTAACTTTCCTTTTGAAGACACTACTTTCTATTTCAGTTATGAAATATGGATCTTCAGGGTAAACCAGTGATAAAGCATCAGCTACCAGCTTAACAATAATGCTCAGCCAATAAATCATATTAAAAAATATCAATGAAATACATATTCTAGGAGTATGGCGTTAGCCTACCATTAAGTGAAACAAAGAACTGTTCACTAAAATATTTCTACACAAAACGATCAAATCAACAGATGGATGGAGTCTCCTTTAGGAAGTTCCAATTACTTTATGCCTACATGCAAAACAGTAAGAGATACGAATTATTTCTATCTAAGCCTAGATCACATTTGAATATATTTTTCCCAGCATGCAGCTAGGTAATATGCAGAGATGTATGCTTTGCAGCCACAGTCAGAATAACCTTTAAAGATATTAACAACAGAGCAAAATGAATCCGCCAGTGCTAGCAGATCTGAAATTCCTAAGGCATATGCACTAAAGAAAAATATGCAGAGCTGTAACTGCAATTTTCATCTGCAGTTAGCAGGAAATCACATGCTAGCCTAAAACCCTGTGTTCTACCCTAAACACCAACCTGCAGTAATGTATTGAGCAGAGGCCATTTCTCCTGAAGCTCTTAAGGCACCACCATACCTAAAAGAGAAGAAAAATAATTTGTATGCAATTAAGCACAATCGAGAAGAGCAGTCAGGTTTTTAAATCATAAAGAAGGCAGCAGCTAGATTTATTTAAATGTATCAAAAAAGAAATCAATCACCAAAACAGAAGTAACTGAAGATAAGATTTGCTCACACTCACCTCAAAGTCTCAGCTATTTTGCAAGCACTGCATGGAAGCAAAGGAAAACCAGCATCCTTGAGACAATAAACAAATGCAGACTGAGAAGTCTGGATACATCACTGCTGCTTCCCTAATCAAAGACTCAATCTATTTTTAAAGAAACTGAGAAAAAGTCAGAATAGAAGCTACCCCATTTCTGAAACATTTGCCACAGCTTCTTCAGATACATGGAAAAAACCACCTTCAAGGATAGATGGCAGATAAAATGCACAGAAATGGAGGACAGGCTTCCTCCCTCCATAGCAGAAGCAAAACAGTGAGAGGTGAGACATTTTTCTCGGGGAGATATTTCCTACACTGAAAAAGTATGGGAGTCCACCTGTATTACCAGAACTTACCACTCTTCTTGGAATGATTTCTTAATTTACCACCTGCATGAGGAACAGATGGTCTCATCAAAGCATATAAGCCTTCAAGCAAAAGGAGGGTCTCATGCATTCTTTAATCTCAGACTGAACTTTAAAAACTCTGACCACTGCTAGATGATGAGCAGGAAACTTTCCCCCTGTCATGCTACAAAACAGGGAGTACCCTCGCAGAGATCAACGGAGCAGCTGGTGAGAAATGAAGCCGTAATAGTAAGCTTTCCCATTTGAGTCCTCTCACCTCTCTCCCACTGCCATATACCCCTCCATGCTGTCATCAAGCAGGGAAGGCCAAATAAAGGCTAAGTCTCTAGGGGAAAACAGAGCGGCTGCCTGTGAATCTGACTTCCCACAAACAATAAGGCCACATCTTGTATTGCCACCTGCCAGTTTTACAGGGTACATTTTGACATTTGGTATGTTAAATTTGTCAAATACTCTGATTCAGTGCAGTAACTCAGAGTCCTTTACATGGAAATAAACAGACTTTTCTAAAATGACAACACTGAAAAACAAGAAAAAGCTTTAAAACAGAGTTTCTGTACTTCACAAATAGTTCTCAGTGCCAAATAATTGCAAATTCACCGGCTAACAGAATGAAGAAAAATTTATAAGTACTTAAATAACTAGTGTTTACAGTAACCTAGAATATCCAGTTGGGTACCAAGGCATCAAGAAAGCAGTGTATTTTAAAGGAATTAAGTTAACTCTAAGATGGCAATGCTCTACCTAATCCTTTTAAATACATTTTTAAATACAGATGGTTTTCTCATTATAATTCATCTGGAGGATAAATTCAGGCTCACGTTACCACGTATTCTTTTTTCCTCCAATCTTCTTTTCAAGTTTCTCGTAGATTCCTCACAAAAAAAAATTAACCATTTCCACATTTCAGTCCAGAATAACAAAAAAAATTCAGAAAAGTTATTCTACAATCAGAACAAATGAAGCAAATTCCATAAGGGCATGCCTTCTGTTCCCTACACAGCTTTTTCCAGTTTGCCGCCACAGTAATACCCATGGTCCTGTCTCAGAGCTTCCTGCTGTACCTCCAAGTACCAAATGTCGGTAACGTCAGAATTTCATAGCTGAAAACACATTATGCAATAAAGCCATTGAAAAAAGATAGTCCTGAAAGGAACAGGACTCCTGTACGATTCTTTTATACAGAACAAGACCGTACAAACTAACACCAGAAAACAGGGTTAGGAGTTCAGTAGCTTGTTTAAGCATTTTAAACAAGTCTTGATAGAAACTATTTTTAGTTAGGCAAAACACATTCTCTCTACTAAAAGCCAGTTCCAACAAATACATAGTCTTAAGTTCTTTAAAAAGTACAGACTAACACAGCCATAGGATAAACTTTAATCGATCATTATGTCAATCTTGATTAGATTTAAAGAATAACAGATTGTTACGATAATCCACACCAGTATTAAGACGGACCGTTCCACAAAATATCTATTTCATAAGCTAAAGAAAACATTTTAGTCATGGTCTTTTTGTACTGAATCCTACCTTTTAAGGGCCTCTTTCACTTCTGGCACTGAGCGGATACACTGAACCGTAGCGTTCATGTAGCAAGTGTTGCCAAGGTTTGTCAATCCACATGGTAACTCCATCTACCAAAAAATTTACAAGGGTGCTTGAAGGTCAGAGATGTGCAACCGTTTTTGTATAAACGCTTTAATTTGACATCAACTTCTAAGAAAAGGAATGATCAGAGATGCGTAAAACTGGAATATTCCATCAAACTTTATGACGTTTTCCAGATCCATTTTCTGATCATATTAATAATTTCACCATCTGGTGCTTTTAGAAGACATTCGGGAATGCTTTGGGTTTTTTTCTGTGCATGTTTAGTTTCATGAGCATATTCTTCAAGCAGGCAGTCATTCAGAAAGTTCAATTATAATCTCATTCAAGTTTTGACCTTAAAATTCTATTTCCATGAAATTTCCACATGAATACATTTGTATGAAACACGGATGTTTTAATTAAAATCAGTTTTCAGTAAAACTCTGAATGTGATTAAGTTCATAGTTAGAAACAAGCATTATTTAAAATCCTCTCCAGAAGTCTGCAATAGATCATTAATTTGATCCTTTCAGACAACTTGTGAATTTCTGAAGTTTTGACAAATGTGAAGGCCAACTAATAACTAAACTAACCAGTTGCAGAAACCACTATCAATAACAATATAATGGCATTTTTCTTTTTTTCTTTTTTTTAAATCCTGCATATTTGAGTACTTGTCAAGGAAAAGCACGTAGTTCAATGAAAATGAAGTAGTACTGCATACCAGTATCACTTAATTATTTTAGGAAGAGAGAATTCATTCAGCTGTGTATTCCATTTTTAATGAATACACGCAGTACAGACAAACGAATTTTGATGTATAACAAAATTTCAATCAGAGAAATGCAATGTGACCAACTTTTTCAAAATGTTATCTGACACTGAATCATCTCCTTGTTTGCCTCTCAGTTATCTCAAAGTCTATGTATAGGGTTAGTCTCAAAAATACGTAAGTATCCTTCACCTGCTGGTGCCACGGAAAGCATTAAATACTGAAGCACAAAACCAGTCCTAAACTACAGATCCGTTTTCATACAGACGTGCATAAAAGCATTCCCGTTCTGCATGCACAGTTGACAACAGTCATGCAATTGTTTTAACTATGACAAAGAACTCCTAGTTCAAATTGACTGATTAGAAAATTAAGCCTTTCAAACTGTAAAAAAGGAAACAACTCAAACAGAAGTTACTTCATTTAAAAAAATAGATTAATTATGCTCTTCCAAACTTTACTCCCATAAAGGAAAACATATAATCTATTCCACTAATGTCAAACTTACTTTCCTTTTTCAGAAAGAAAAGTTTACCTAATACTACTAACAAGGACAAACAAAACCCCAAACACACCCCACCCCAAACAAACCCTAGTTTCCCTTCACAGATATGAAGGAGGCAGGAAACAATTTTACACATCTAAGAGCCCTTATTCAGGCAAAGTTCAGGACACTAATACGGCAAGGGCAATATAACTTTGTCTTTAAAAACATCAGCAAGACTATTTTTAGAAAATTTACTAAGCTGCCTGCTTAAAGAAAAAACAGCACTAGTTACATGACTTTTAAATTAAATTCCAGACTTCTCATCACTGCTACCAGCTGGATCATCAACGTAAATTTGCATTTCTTTGAGAAGCTATAAATGCTAAACAGACATTATAGTTTCAAAATCCACTTTTAAGCAACTGCAACTATTTAAAAACTTGCCATTATTCAAAGGTTTACAAGAAACCAAAGTTTGAAATATGCTTACAGCTGAAGCCAACTGCTCCTCTGTCATGTCTTCTACAAAGATGGGTCGAGCAATTGGCTCTTCCGGAAGCGCATCTGCAGAACCCATCATTAATAAGGTCATCCCCTTGAAACACAGCAGAAATAGTAATAAATATTTAAGGGCAGTTATTTCCGCTTAAAAAAAAATAAATCATTAAGCTCTTGACATATTTCAGCTATTTCCCCAAAGATAAACACAATCTTTCTCTTAGTTTACAAAACTGATATTGCAATGCTGTTTCTGAAGGGTATACTTTAACTTTCTCATTATCTAGAAAGTACTTATTGAGAACAATTCCACAGCATTATCCATGCTAGATGTTTCCACTGAGCCTGGTGAGCTTGCCAGCAGCTGACAATGCAAGATTCCAATCAGGACTAAAATTTAACATTCATAGGATATCCCAATGTGAAGTGTTCAGAAAAGCTCCCTTCCTGATGGACCACTAGGGATCAAGCATCTTCAACACTTCAGTGCAAGTATTCCTCTTTCCCTTAAGTCTTAGAAAATACCTTGGAACCGAGGATAACTGAGCAGCTAACTTCCAATTTGAGAGAAGCTGCAACGTTTGAGGTTCTCAATCAACAAAATCTCAAGTTCTCAAATTCAGAATTCTCTAAACAACAAAAAAAAATCCTTCATCTTTAGCCTAGAATCTGGGGAAACACTTCAGACATATGTGGGTAATAATGAGGAGCACAGCTCAGTTTCAAATTGGTTTTTTCACCTGAAAAGCAAGTGGGAAAGCGCCATCCTTTGGTCTGGCAAGTTCTGAGGACATTAAATTAATCGAAAAGTGAAAAATAACCAAAATGACCCCATCAGTTTAGGCATGAGGACTAACATTCGGGGCGGAGAGGAGCAATCAAGTTACCATGCTTGTTGGACTAGTGTAAGGAAAAGGAGGTTTTCAGCATTCAACAGGAGTACATCTACACAATAAGATCTATCAAAGGGGGAGAAAAATGGCTATCTGGAGCCTTGAAAAATACAGTGCTAAGGAAAAGGATGGACAACAGAATGGAAAGAAACTGGTTTGACAGTGTAAATAAATCCCTAGAACTTGTATATAACATTATTAAAAAGAATAAAGGCAGCTGTTAGCATAACTATGCAGAAAAGGACAAGAATATTATGTATTGGGGTTTTTTCTGAATTACTTTGCTACAATAGCTGCAGCTACAGGCTGCTAATAGATGCTTGCGAACTAATTACAAGAGTAAGAGTAATGCTACCTAATTCAATCTGCTCAGTGAAGAACTGGAGTAAAACCTGTACCAAACAGATGTTACAAGATATCTACAGAAATAAATACATTCACTTTTTGTTTTCTTTTTGAACTAGTCAAAGGTATGAATAACCATTATTAATGGGTTTGTTTTTAAACAGCAGCTATTTACTACAGCAGAACAAATTTCAGCAGGCTGATAAAAAAGGATATAGGCAGTGCTGTAACTTCAGCATTTGTAATGCAACAATTTTCCATGCTGGGGAAATACAAGTGCAATGGACTGCAGACAGCGCCCAGGTTCACAAGCTCTCTCTAAATAACATGACTTATTGTTGTGGTCACAGACACACAACACAGAACGACCACTGGTCTGACCCAGAACATTTCTTGTAAGAAAGAAAGATGCTCCCAAGTACTTCAGGAAGATGGTGTAATTTCCCATCAGACTTCCCTGATGCTAGAAAAGGTTTTTTACAAATCAATGGTGAGGACTTTGTAAGAATGCTTAGGTATGACAACTGAAAAATTATTTGTCATCAAGCTCTGATTTTTAAGAAAGAACTACCCATTCAAACAGAAACAGCAAGAACTTTAAATCTTTCTTTAAATGCCAAATAAAAATCAAACTAGTAAAATTTAGTTATTCCTCAGAACTTACATTCTTTATTTTTAGGTTCCCCCAGTCATCATCCTGTATTTGAAATTAAATAAAAGACAAGTTAATTATCTTGCAGCAAAAGACAAGCAAGTATTTTCATTAATATTAATCACATATTTCTAAATATACAATTGTGTTTCATCCAAGATTCCACAATATTAACTATTTACACATCATCAAGTCTTGTCTGACTAAAATAAAAAGCAGCCAAGTCATCTTTTCAATAAGGTTCTTCATCTGTTGTTCAACACTGCTTAGATGTAAACAATTTTTTGTAGGAAAGTTGTCTATATCACGTTACACTGATAAGTCTCCAGCAAAGAAGTGCCAGATAAACTTGTCTTAAACAAGCTAAAAGCAGAAAGTTTCGTTCAGATTCTGAACATTAAAAAGGAACAGGAAAAAAAAAAAACCACCAAGCAGAGTAGTGTTTGGTATAAGAGAGCGAAGAAGTGTTTTAAAACAGCAGTGTACCTCCCAACCACTTAGCAACAAACTTTTGCCCGTATTTTTTAGTAGCAGGCAATGAATCATACAGAATTATTTCTGAAAAGTGTAGTCAGTTTAATATATACAATGAAAGATCTTCTGGAAGAACACTTGGAAATATGGCCATTGCTCATTATGTTATAATGTAATAAAGTTAGAAATAATATAAAAACCCACGGATTTCTACCTTCAGAGTTCCTCCTTTAACCATAACCTTCTGTCTAGCTGGTTGAACTCCAGTCAGTGCAAACAACTGGGCTTTGAAGACCATTGGAGGTTCATCAGTGTTAAGCTCCACACCATCGAATTTCTCTTTTCCCCATTTCACGTTAACTGCAAACAAAATGTTTTGAAACTAGATTATTACCTAACATACAAGAGTGTAATTAGCAAGATTAACCCAGTATTTCAAATTCCAGATTTATACCATCTCAAAACATTCAGTTTTTAACTCTAAAACTTGTCAATAATCAAGCTAAGGACACATTTTCTACAAGGTGTCTCAGCCATCAGAACATACTATTTCCAACAAGTCTAAAAATATCCTATAAACCAACTGTAACCAACATACATACTGAGAAACTTTGGAAGCAATAAATGTGTATAACAGCATCAGAAATTCTTTGGGCAAGTCTTCACAAAAGCAGCTCGAAAGCAACTCTCCCAATCTCTTGGCACTGTTCACTGCAAACAAATTTCCGAAGGAAGTTCAGGTGTGCGATTCCAGTTCAGTTTTCCATAGCATTTCCATTCTCCTTCAATGGCAAACAATACCATGTTCTTTAAAAGCAAAGCTACTCTTTGATAGACATAGTTTTGGCTACCAGTATCGCTTCATGTGGAGCTACGTGAGGAGGTAAGCGTGCATCAAGATAAGCCCCATAAAATAGCACACCTCCTGGCTCACAGCGCCATTTACACCACCATCACTGCTACCCTCCTCAGTTTTGACAGTGTGCACACAAACAATGTACCTGTGTGCAAATACTGACAGCAGCCTAGCACAAGTTGCAGCTTCAGAAGACCTGACCCCAGTAAAGGTGCAGGAATTAAGTGAAGTGAAATTTGGTCACGCAAAGTGTAGCTCTCAATGCTGGAAATGGGATCACCAGCAGGAACATCAGGCAGAACGACACAAAGGCACGTTAAATTCACTTTGGTAAAGCTAGTACCAACCAAGAGCAGACAAGAATGCCTGGAATAAACAGTGTGTTTCTAAAGAATGGTTACGCATTCCAATCACGATCACAGGTACACAAGGCTACTTTAGCAAACTGTAGTTTCGCTGAAAAACCTGCAAAATATAGCACACAGTAATATCCTATGTGCACAGTAACTGGTTGAAATACCACACTTTAAGAAAACCATATCCTTCCTTCTACCTGTGCTTCGGTTTTAAGTAAATATACTATGGCAACTCTAGCTCGTCGTGATTTTAAAAAACCTTCCAAGAAGGTTAAGATTTCAGATGTATGCAGTGCTTGAGATGGGTAACAAGGAAGAATCACTTAGTCTAAATTAGCCTACAAAGCAACTCAAATGCCTGGCTTTTCAGTATTTCTAGCAGAAAGTACCTTCTGATTTGTCCAACTTTTTTTTTTTTAAAACACATTCATTATTTTGCATATTTAAGACCTACCAAGCGCAAGCCTTTTCCCATTTTCCAGGAAGACGGCCCACTCAGTCACTGAACAAGTCAGCTGCACAGAGTCTTTTAAGTTTTGCATTTTTGAACAGTCATGCATCCACCGATAAATACGCAGAAGAGTTAGCAATTATTAATCTGTAGTGTCACCGGTTTTGACAACTCGGCACTCAAGAAGAGGAAACAGAAGAGCGTGAGTGTCTTTTCTTCAGAGATAGCAATCAAAATTTCCACCAAAAGTTTCCAAACTAAAGGAGAAAACTGTTAATCTGAAAACAATGGGAAGTAAGAAAAAAGGACACATTTCCCCACTGAACAGAAAATACAGCTTACGCAGATGTGCTAGAGTTCAGGGAAAGTCCTGTTATACTGGCATCAGGATCCCAGTTTGCCAACCATAATTAAAATAGCGGAGAAACACTGACACAACTGTGTACTGCGGGCTTCTACAATCTGTTCCTCACGTACTAAAAAGCCCCAAGAGGCCAGACCTGTGAAATATAAACAAGCCAGTAACTGGTCCTAGAAGCGTCACTGGAGGTTTTGCTCTTGCGGTCTTCACTAGAAACTTTCCTTCACGGCGAGAAGGATGCGATGCAATTTAAGAAAATTTTAAGTCCTCCGGTTTTAACTAGGAAATAATGGATTTAAAAGAGCGGAGGCAGATGCACCTAAATAGATTTGGAGGTGCAGATGCAGAATTATGGCTCGCTTGACAGACAGCGGCACTCATCTTGTTGTACAAAATTTTGTTTGTTTAGCACAAAACAACAACAAAAAAAAAACCAAGGGCAATACCGAGGCACTATCGCACGTGATACGCGTATAACACCCGTTCGCACGGCCGAGCCTTGCCGAAAGGGCCCTCCCGGCCATCAGCAGCGCTCGCCCCTCTCCCCAGCCGGGCCA